CATCGATTCGGAATCACTTTGACTGTGCAAGTCTTTTTTCTGTGTTAATCCACATTTTTGACATTTCTAGCCCTTAGCCCTGATTCATAACATTTTCGTGGTCTGAATCAGGCAGGCTTCTAACAAGATGCTCGACGTGGTGTCCAGTCGTAATATGATGATGAATCGGACCAGAAATTAATTGCAATGTTTTTCCAACAATATTTCTTCAAGTTCGTCATAATGGATAAATTTTGAAATCCTAAATGTGTTGTTTTTGTCCTGACAGAACCTATTTGTAGGACTTCTCCCATCAAATAAGTCTCGGTCAAATAGGGTTATATCATTTAGGCAATGTACGTCCTTCTTCCTGGCTGTTCTGAAAATACAACTTTTCTCTTCAAGACGAGCTGTCGTTTTCAGCAGTTGAGAGGATTTTTAAATTGTGCACCACCCTTCGGATGGCAAAACCAATACCAACAGGAGAGCGTACTGAACCTACTTTTATTATCATTCAGTGGTATCTGCTTAGAACGTTCTTTTCACTAGCGTTTACTGATGAAATCTTTATTTTTGTAACTTGTGCTGAATTTTGCATTAATCCACCCGATAACAGAGGATCATCTGGCCGTAGTTACGTTTAGTTACTTGACTGCTTTTTTAGACTAGTGTGATACTCGACTGTGATTCGATAACCAAAGGATTTATTTCAGTATGCACGCGTAGATGCACGCTTCGTTGTCAATGTGTCCTACACAAAATGATGGCGCCTTTTATAATGTTCTGTATTGTCACGAGGTCATTGAGCTTCCCGTATTTAACGGTGTCTTCTTAGTTGTGGTCAGTCGGCCAGCAAGATTTTAGGCGTAGTTGGTTCCTTCCTCTTTGGGCACCCGGGTCCAGTCAGTGGATCTGCTGTTGTTATTAGCTGGTCTCTTCTGCAAATCAAACAGTCACCAAGCACACAGATTGAAATGGTCGTGACACTAGCATTTTGACGTATTGTTGATTTGGCATCATATTCACGATCTTCGCATTTCACGACATCTGATGATTATGAGTTAAAAATGAAACCATTCCAGCGTGCTTTGAAAAAACAGGCCATCTTAAACCATAGTGGTACATGAAATATCACTCTAAGCGGTACCGACCATAATTTCGAAATATGTTCACTGGATATGCAAATTCACGGACCCACGATTGGAGTTCGCTAATTAAAGCCTCCTTTGCAGTCGAGCTTCTGCTTCCGCAGAAACATCGGATTATTCACACCAGCATTATGTCGTCGCCAATCATTTCATAGGTTCACTTTCGAAAGTCGTACAAAGTGGGGTAGTGACTGTGATTACTTCACCAGATATTGCTATGATATCTCTACTGTTTCCATTTGGTGTTTAAAGCAACCATCGCTGTTCAACCTAATCAGTTTGATTGATTGATGTATAATGTGGGGGTTTGATTTGTTTAGTAATTAATCTGTCTGTTAGATCCGATCTGTTACCATTTCAGTGAAGTTGATTAAACAACAATCTTTATTTCACTTCGTTGTTATTGTTTTCATGGCTATCTAGAAATAAACAAGCCTAATTAGTTGCTATCAGAGTTGCCCTAATTAGTAATGTCTGACTCCGTTGCCTAATCTTAATTAGTCATAAAGTAATACTTTGTGACCTGCCCATTATTTTCGAGGCATTAATGAATTTTTGCTTAAATAAGATCAAATTGCATATCTAAATTTTACCTTTGTGGTGCATCACGTTATTGTTCTGAGTCATATTAGCTTTGCTGTATTTTAGTTGGTGATGGTGTATGCGGAACTTTTATTTAGACTGTCGTACAAAGTGAGCACCATCGATCAGTGGCAAAAAGTTGAGGACGTGCCGGAAAAGTTTCGCTGTCCAGAGGAAATCAATGCAGGCGCCGATGATTATTGTTTCGACCTGTCATATCTGCAGTTTGGTATTCAGTACACGGCTGACGTACGTATTTACTCAATGCTTCGTCAGTGCTTTCTTCATTCGGTTACCAGGTCCGGTTGTCATCTCTGTTCAGATGTATTATTCAGCGTCTGTTCATTCATTTTTATGACTTGATAATGTGAATGAGGCTTACTTGGCCTGTTATGCGATATCATCCTCCAAGGGTCGTTTGTCTTTATTTTGACCTCAGTCTCGCAGTCAGGTCTCGGCATACCATTCTTCACAAATAGTCGGTATTCCTTCTCAAGTCATCATCAGAATGCCACCTTTCGTTCCTTGTGTGCCAAGAATTTAGGTTTTTTAATCAGCTTCTACATCCTGCTAGGTGATTTATAATTGTCGTTTCTAACATCAGGAACATTGGGAAATTTTTGTGGATTTGCGTTCCGTGCTCTTGGTGGTCCAAATTTTACATCCGAGATTTTCAAGCGGCTGGGTTGTAATTCTAATTATTCTCCACTTCGTCAAGTTTTCAAATGTGCGATTTTGCCATGCTCTGATGATTGATGTCATGCAATAGACCGGGGATGCTCATCGATAAAGAATGGAACTCAGAAACCGAGAGGTCCCGAGTTTGGGCCAATATCAGGTGACTCGTCTTTCTTCTTTCTGATGTTGATATACAATTACCACCTCATGGGAAAGAAACAGGAGACCACATGCTATATTGGACCCTAAGTGATAGGTTTTAATGTTAGAAAGAAATGACAATAAGGCACTTTTGACTGATAGCACGGAAGGTGATTTGAGCCGCACCGTTAGCTCCATGACAGTGAAGGTCGCGAATGGCAATCTGTCATAAAAGTGTAACAGAGATCCGTATCCAAACGGTCGCAGATTTTCATTGTTGTTCCTTTTCGTCGCAGAATTTCTCTCTGTTCGTAGGTGCTTACGAATCCTGGTTTTACGGTCACAGTCTTCTTTCTAAACGCTTCCAAGATACCGGATGACTACTTGCATCTGAATGCCGTTGGTGGTCGGTCGTCCCTACGGTCGTCAGATTGAGTTTCACAAAAATAGTTTCTTAGAAGCAGCATGGAATCAGGTGTAGATTCCTTGCCGTCCGAATTTCCGTACGTATCCGGCTTTTGGTAGCCGGACGTATGTTGCGATTCTTTGGTTAATAGCTAGATGTTGACTTTCTACCTATTAGCAAAGGTGGCATTCGTTGGACTATAGGAATACACCAGCAGAAAACATGAGAAGCCATGCCCAAATGCTCTGTTTCTCTATTCCACAGAACCGCTAAATGTTCCGCACCCTTTCTTGCAATCTTCGTATGGTTTTCCCTTTTCCATCTCTTTTCTTCTGTTTGGTTGTGAAGTTTCGCCTTCATCTGCGATCCCAGTGAACTGCCCATTTTTTGTAACAGATTCGAAAGCCTTCTTTCTTCAGGCAGTGCTTGATTGCTTGTAATATAGGGAATGACTGCCGTGAGATTAATTTCAGGCGGCATTTTTTTGGCATGATGAGCGGGTTATAATAATTATCTTTGAAGAATTTCTCATTCTGGCCATTCTTGCGTAAGAAATTTTGTGGATGTACAGTTTGTGTTTGAAAGGCAGAATCGGTGGTGCCAATTCTAAGGTTTTAGAAGGCGATGACTTTCTCTACTCATTCTTAGTCTGAAAATTATCAGTCTCGAATTGTCTCATATCGAAACTGGTCGTTAAATTACTCTGAGTAGATAACGTTTTTTAAGGAGAAAACACATATGGCTTTTGAACTCGTGATAAAACAAACACTGATATGTGTGAAAGCCGTTTGTTAAATTTGCAATACACGGAAACGTTTAGGTCATTTACCGACTGAGCAATGGTCAGTGGTCGAAGAAAGGAAATCCTCTATTTTTCATTCTCGTGGAAGCTGGTAAATATGATCTCTGCTTCGCTTAATCTGTCGTTTAGAGTTGAATGATTTGAATTCACCCATTCACCTGATTGATGCTTGTGTATGTATTTAGTGATCACCAACGTTCCCGGCCTGATTAAAATACCCGAGGCCCCTGCGCGTTTGACCGTTCGAATGATTTCCGATAGAACTGCAGAAGTTTCATGGTTGCCGCCGCTGTCTGACGTGAAAATCGACGAATATGTGGTAAAGTGGTTATACAAACTTTCATTTTTAATAAGGCAAACTTCAAGAGATTAATTAGGGCTAAAGTTTCCGCCTTGTGAACAAAACAGTCACTGCAGCATGTATCGCCTTGATTCCAAGTGTACGTTTCCAAAGGTTCCGAGATCTTCATAAAACATACAACTGCTGGCAGCCGTTTATATAAAAAATGAACCGGTTAGTTGATTATGACAAAATATCTGATCAGCAAAGATAACCGGGATGAGATGCATTTGGAAATGCATGCGACGCTCTCAAAGGCACTCGAAAGAACATGAACCCTAAGCATTCAACAATTGCATCATATTCATTAGAATACAAACTTAACTTTGTAAGTAAAAACGTTAATATACTTAGCCGTCAAATGGATAGGCTTAGACTCTTATATAAGTGTCCTTGTGTATCTTTACAACTACAACACGGCTTACAGTTCGTGCTGATTACCAATCTTGTTAATCAGCTGCCACATACAGATCAAGGCGAATTACATCCCTAAGAGGCTAGTTCGAAAGATCTTAGGCACCCTTAATTTTAAGCATGGTGAACCTGATAAATAACTGCTGGTTTAAAAGTGTGAAATCATTTTCATTATAAACAGGAATATACGGCTTCATGAATTACATTAGCGCAAGCAAATAGCAACAACAAATATGCTGCGTAAATTGCAAGCGTTCATGTATTAACTGCATAGTGGTATTTGTTTCTGTCATCAGCTGTTCTCATTCACTGAAAATATGGCCATTAATACTGATTGACTGACTGTGATTCTGAAAGCTAGTTTTATAATTGAAGCAGTTGTTCGTATAGTTCTTTATTAAGAACAGTGACATATACATGTTTATCACTCGTTCTTGTTTGGTTTAGATAACCTTTATTATACTGAATTCAAAGAACGCACAGGCGGTGCCCGGCAAACAAGTAACTTTCAAGACCCCTGGAAACGTGTATACGTATGCAATGGACCAACTGCTGCCAAACACGGTGTACAATGTTTCGGTTACGGCGCACAGCGGAAATTATATCGGTCCATGTATATGGGAAATATTTGGAAAAAGTAATCAATAACTTATTCTTAAGTAGCATTTGAATAACCACTGCATATTAACAATATCAGTGAATGTGAAACATTTTTATCGAAGCATCTAACTTTTAATTATCACTATTTTATTTGTAAAATTTTATACATTAAGTCAGGTAATGCAGTTAAAAAGCAGTTGCGCTTGTAGCTGTTATGGCGTAATAAACTTGAACTTGAGTAATAATTTACGTTTTAGTCGAGACGAACATGGATATCAAAGAGCCGCATGTTCAGCAGAAAGGCGGAACTTTTACGATCAGCTGGGAAGTGACTGACCCTGCGCCAAACCTGTGCTGCTATCAGGTAATGTTCTGTAAAAATGAATAGATTTTTTTCAGAATAGCAGTGATAATCTTGTATGCAATAGTCGGTGATTAATTAACATGAACAGGAGAGAGATTATGTAAAAATATCGGTTACGTATATTTGAAATTTCAAGTCCAAATTATGAATATCGGATATTCATATTCGGCAGAGGGTATTCGTCGTTAGCTTTACAGATTAAGTGGTTTGGTCGAATTGCTCAAGAAATTAAATAGCAATAAATGATACGATGAGAACTGATTAAGATAAGACACGGTTAGAAATTTGTTACTAAAATTATTGAGTAACAGTTGACTACAGTGAAACTGAGAGATCGAGATGATGGGTGTTGCATTATGTCAGGATCAGATGAAGTTGTGATCAGCTTAGCAGTCAGCATGTTATGTACATAATTCAAATTATTACTGAAACCAACAAATAGGCATGACAGTGATCGAAAGAGACTCACTTGTTGTCGCCCTGCTACAGACGTAACTGACAGAAGTAATTCAATTTTAATTACCACGGACATCAAGCTGTTCAACGAACCAATAATATTGATATTCATTAATTAAGTGCCAAAAAATACCATCTCACGAAGGTTCTGTGCTGCTTCTTCGGAGTCGGTCATCAGCTGACAAAAATCAGAGGTTGCGAAGTAGCTTTGGTTACCACGTTGCACTGGGATTTACCGAGCTTGACCTGGGCTTGTGATCAGCATCGTCACTCCGTTTCGTTTACTACTGGATCGAGATCGGTTTGTCCAAGATTTTTCCACTGAATTCTGTTGCTGGATTCTCATCTTCTAAGTGGAAATTACGAGCATAATTATCTTGTCTTTCGACAGCTGTAGAAGCTTTATCGGTTCATCACAAGTCTCTGGGAAGCATTCAGAAGACGTTTCACCATAGGTGACTATCGCAATCACCTTGAACTTTGTTAAGCTGCCGTTGAGGTAATTTTCACATTGCAAACACTCTTTGCTGTTTACCATAACTTCCTGTAGATGGTTATTTTCGTTCATATATGAACTGAAATCTTCTATACTATGTAGGTGTTTGATAATTTATATACTCAGAATCTATGCTTGATTATGATTCTTCTTTTCAGACTTGAAAAATGAAAACTTGTTTTCGAAAATGTGCTCTGACATTACATCAGTGATGTTTCCGAATTCTAGGTTGACGCAAGGAGTGACAAGGACCAAGACTGGCATCCTGTTTCAAGTCCGGTGAATCACGTGCCTAACCAATATAGCTATTCGACCGATCTGGTTGGATTGGAACCGAATACCTATTACCACATTCGGATTCGTGCCATAAGCTTTGAAAATTACGCAACAGTGTTTACCAGTCCATCCGTCGGTCTGACTTCTCAGTGCCAAGCACCCACTGCGCCACCAAGTGACATCGTACTTAATAGCGTCGACTCGAAAACAGTCCTAATGAGCTGGAACGTATGACGCTCTCTTTACGGCACGGAAATTTTAAGGTTATACACGTCGTTTTGTTTTAGCACCCCGCTAAAGCGACTTGGGGATGCTCTGACATATTTTATAACGTTGAGGGTTTCGCCAATTCAGAGCCCCAAAGCTTTCATGTTCAGACCGATCTTCGTGGCTTCAGGGTAGAACACAGAATAGCGACAAAACCTGGTACTCACTGGCGACTGAGGGTACAAACGGCGAACATGAACGGCGTTTCGCCGTGGTCAGCGGACTACGAGACCCGCACCGAGCCGGATGGTAATTAAAAGATGCGGCGCCGTCGCTTAGCGCTGTTGCCTTCCTAACTGAACCATATGTTTTAGTGTACATTTCCACACCAACCATCAGTTATCCCGGAAACCGCGTGCAGGTCGACTGGCGTTCGCAGAGCGCCGGCATCGATAACGTCGTCGCGTATATCGTTGAGTACCGGGACCCGTCGACGATGCAGTGGCGCGAAACAGGGTAGGTGCTCTAGTCGGATTTTTCGTCAGTTTGTACAGGGGACCTACATTGGTTTTGTAGGGTGCCGATAGTATACCGCGGCGACAACCTGTTGTACACGGCTTTACTTGACGACTTGCGCATCACGGCCGCCGTCGCCATTCGAGTCAAGGTGCTGGATCGCAACCGAAATACGTTGTACGTCAGCCCTGAAGTGTCTGCACAGTTGAGGTGTTTGGGTAAGCGTCGTTTGATTGTTTGGATTTTCATCTATCACAATGCACAGTGTCGTTTTTTAGCACCTGTCAGGCCTCCTACGGCTTTAACGCTGTCGACGCCCGATTCAAGGCATGTCAGGGTGCTGTGGCAAGTACGTACAATAATGTTATCTGCAACGGTGAAGGCTTCTTTCCTCAACATTAAAACTAGCTTTCTCGAAGAGCTGATAGACTATTAACGTATAAAAATTAAAGTCTGTCAAAACATTAACAAAGAATTATACGGCTGAAAGATTGAGTTTTGACATATGTTTCGTGAGGCTTTATTTTTCTTCAACGCGATGATTATATATCTGACAAATAGGCCTATGCAGGGAAACCATTGGGTATGACTGGATATATAACTAGAATCAAATGTCTTGCCAAATAATAATCATAAAAGCAAAAGATTGAAAATCGTACATGATTTCTTTATGCATGAGGTGATATAAGCTTTAGGTAAGTTACAGACGGGAAGACAACGCATAAAAAAGTCTTTATTTAGGTACATTGTCATTTCGGACCAACTTCGGTCCGTCTTCAGAATAAATCATTCGAATTCGTTTCAACGCATGCCGGCATGGATTGAGTTCGATGAAATTTCATGAATATTATGAATTGGCCTGTAGTGGCTCAGACGCACAAAATAATCCGAGATTAGTCTTATACTGCAGATTCTCAAATACCATAAAGCCTGCTTAAATGCTTGACAGGTACGACCAAAGGGCGGTGCAATGCGCCATATAATCTTGTCTAGGACGGATTGTGGCTTATTATGAAACGTTACGCATATTCAGTATCAAATTCACTACTGATATCGCATATGATCAGTACATCATGGCGCACTGCAGTTTAAGTCCTACTTGCGAAAGGAACCATAGAATCTCGTCGTAGTGCAGTTATGGGTTAGTTATTTATTATTATTAAATAGTTATGCTTAGTTATTAATAAGTATTGTGCATGTTGATATCGAATATGATCAGTGGAATGTATGAAAATTATTATTTATATGATTATATATTAATGGATCCAGCAGTGCGGTCATAGATTTGCTTATTTCTTTTAATGTTTACACTGCATGCAGTGTTTACTGATCGATGGATAAGATTGTTACTGGCCATGGTCGCCCAGTCTGCTGCTTTGCAAAGTTTTCACCCCAGCGTGAAATGATGCTACGGTTTGAACCTTGTGGCAGTTGGTTATGCGCCATCATAAGTCCAAAACTACTGGAGGATTATCTTAACGGCAATGGGCTTTTAATTCGTACTGGAAAACCTGACCTAGCACTTGTCAGCCTCTTGTGGAATATAATCTGACGTTCATTCCAGTTTGGTGCGGTATTCACGTGTAGCAGTCTCTTGATTCCATGCATTCAGATTGGCATGTTTTCCTAAAGTGATTCAAATCGTTTTGCTTTCAAAATAGAATTTTTAAAGAATTTTCAGAGATTTTCAAATATCGCTGTCACTTATTTATCACTTGCGTTTAGCCACCGCCAAAAGATAGTTGGATGTGCAATGAGATATCGTACGAACTTGAGTCGTTGGAGCCGACAAGAAACTCTTACCCTTTACCTGGCGAAACGACCAGTCACATCGTGGATGCCCAACCGAACCAAAACTGGAGCTTCCGCATCCGAACGAGCAACACCGCTGGTTCCAGTCCTTGGTCCCGGACGATCGTCACAAAAACGCCTACCGCCGGAACGCTAATATCTGACATTAATATTGTTTACCAGCGGGAAGTCCCAGTCATGGTGTGGCGCAGCGTCGAAGGCGTCGATGATCTCGTTGCAGGTTACATCGTGAAGATCTTCAACGAGCGGCAGCCTCAGTGGGTTCCATACAAGAAAGAAATGGCAAGTGTCTGGCGGCGCGTTTTCATCACCTCTCTAACTGACAAGTTTTAGATACCGTACGTCGGATGGCAGCGACCGTACAACCTTCCACTGACCGACCTGCCAGAAGGAACCAAAGCAGATCTGAAGGTGTTCGTAATCGATCACAATAACGAAGTACAGTA